CTATGAATATCCATTTAAAAAGGAGAATATATTGTTAGCAGACAACGTAGTTGGTTAATCAAATAAAAATCTAGTAGGGAAAAAAATAAGGGATACTAGATTTCAAAGAGACTGAATCTAGATGAAGTATTGCTTACATTAAAAAAAAAAACAGTAAAGGCTTTTTATTACAGGCACATCTATCTAGGAGTTTTCACATATTCCTGCACAAATAATTTTGTAATTCAGCAATACTGTACATTATTATAGATTCAGTATTGATTTTTGCATATGCAATTTGATAGTGCCGCACAATTTTTTTCAGAGATAATATGTAAATTATTAAGTACATACTCTTTTACAAGTTTATTTGTCTTTATAGGTTTGTAGTTGCATACAGTATTTTTGGTGTGTAAGTTATATTGTTACATAAATGCTTAGGACGATTACATTTCTTCGTTTAAAGTATTATGTTTGAACTTAATTGAAAACTGAAAATATGGAGTACATAAGGTTTTGCACTCAAATTGGCATGATGAATTATAGAGATGTAACTGAAAAATATTTTTCACAATTCAGTAAGATTTCAAAAGCCCATTAACTAGGCAGGCTGATATGGTGGTAGTAGTTTGGAATTTTACTCAGTTATTCTAGAAAATGTCTACAGAAAATGAAGCTTTTGTTTCAAGTTACAGTAAAATCTGCTGTTATAACTGTTTTAATGTATACTTATCGTATCAGTGTATTTAACAGGGTCTTACAAATGTTATGTACCAGTCTGTATTATTCCATACAGTATCACCAATAGAATATAAGAAATCTATGGCATGTTTAATTATTCATTACGTGTAAATAGCCTATGGTGTTTCTACATTGAGTGCAGTTACTTCTTATTGTATCATGTTCTGTGGTATTTGATATTACTTTCAAGCCTCAGGTCTTGGGGCAAATAACTATGAAAACTGTATCTTTCATTAATAAAAGAATTGTTAACCTTCAAGGGATGTCTGAATAGCTTGGTAGTGTGTGCTCAAAGAGTTAGGAGTTGAGTTGTTAGAGCCTAATGTTTTTAAATTAGTGGAACAACAAATCTGTTGAATGTCATTTTATCCTGACTACCTCAGGTGAATTAGTGCCCCCTAAGCAACACGGCCATGGATTTTTGAGGATGTTTGAAAGCTTTGCTTTAGTTGTGATTTCAAGCTGATCTATTTTTATTCGGGTGTGGTTTGTATTGACTTCAGCCG